AACTTCATTACATCATTTTTGAAGATATCTGCTAAGTTTTATTTTTTGTTTGTTCTGTTTTGTTTTATAGAAATTAACTAGCCTAAATTTAAATTATGAGCTCTTAAATATTCAACACAGCACGTGAAATCTTTTTCAAATTTTCACATGCTTGTTTTAGCCTGATTCCCTAGTTTCTCACTTAGGCACATAGGGTAGTAGTTTCTTTTCTATCTGCTGTGACCAAATATCTGACAAAGGTGACTTAAGGAATGAAGGGTTATTGTTTTGGCTCACAGTTTGGGCTTATGATTCATCAGGGCAGGAAAAGTGGCACTAACTGTGGCATTTGGAACCATTAAAATGCTAGTTTTATGGAGTCTAAAATCAGAAAGAAAGATGTATGCTGGTTCTCCACTCATTTTCTCCATGTCATTCCATATGGTCCCAGCTGACAGGATGAAGCCCCTCACTGCTAGGATGAACCTCTACTCTTCAGTTAAAGCTCCCTAGAAACCTCCTTGTAGACAAACCCAGAGGTGTGTTCCCATGGGAATCCTCTATCCAGTCCAAGTGGTGAGGCAGACAATGGGAGGCCAGTTCCCAAATCTACTCCAGGGTAATAAAGAGAATGCTTCAGAGTAGCAGGGACTTGGGAAAGATTCTTATCTGAAGGTTGCTACACTTTTCTACCTGAGGCAAAACACACACTTTCTGCTGGTAGCTTAAGAAAAAATGACCATGCTGTCCTGATGGTCACCTTCTCTTTTACTTCAACTTACATAATCTCTTTCTTGCCAATCTCTCTTTACATACATACGTATCTTTCCTGTTCAGATATATATGTCTATATTCTGTATACATCTCCTTTCACATGGCTATACATCTTACCTTTACATATGCTCTCCTATACATCTCTTTGCTCTACAGTTTCATCTTACTTGCCTCTACACAGTGAACAGATCTCCACAGAGCCACATGTCATTTACATACCTCTCACCTGCAGCACTTTATTCAGTTCCTAGGTGCAGCTCCTCTACATAGCAGCAGCTCTTTCATGCAGCTCTCTCCCACTCATGTGCACATACTTCTACAGTTTTCACTCATTCACTCCCACACCTCTCTCTCCCACAGCAGCCTTCTGCATATCCTTACCCAGCGCCTTCCTCTGCATCTTTCTCTCTTTTCATCACCACTGCTCTGCTGCCTCTGCTGCCCTTTCCACAGCCAAACTCTGCACAATTATAAGTCACATTTTCAGGGCCTGACCCATTCTCAAAACACATGATAAGTAATGTAGTTTCTCATAAGCTAGTGATGTCACATTTCCCCTTACATGTAGCCCTAAGTTGGTGAGGAATCCCAGACAGTACACAATTGGCTGAATCTTGAGGTTGGGGAGTATTTGCAGACTAAAGTTGCTTCAAACTCTGAACTTGAATCAGTAAAACAACACCTGTGAAAATGACCTTGTGTATGTGTCTCTAGAGGCAACAAGATATTGTCTCCAGGGGCAACCAGCCTGTTTTGAATCTGCTCTGAAGTCTAAAGTTAGCTGTCTGTGTAAAAAAGTGTCCTTGTGGCTGAGAATCCTATGCCAATCTGAGAATGTAAAATAGTATTATTTCTATTCATCAAAATTATGCAGATAGGAGAAATCATCTTTCTGACCAGCAGATGGGATATTTTCATGAGATAAACACAGAAGCAGTGGGGATACATCTAAAACTATTACTAGGGAAGAAATGAAATGACTCATTAGAGAAAGTATAGACAGGAGCAACTGGTTTCTACAGCCAGTGACCACAGAGTCTTCCAGATGGGGCTTTCCAGGGAATCATGCATCTAGTAGGTTGACCTGCTGAACATTAGTTGTCACCTGCTGTATACCCCCACAGCCCTTTGCAAAGTGACACTGAAGATTAACATCACATATAATTTACTAAGTAGCTAATTATTGGTCACAATTTACTTACCACTTAAATTTTCTTTTCTTGTTTTTTTTTTTTAATGATCGCAAAATATCACTGTTTTATTTGATTTTTGTTCTCAAATCCAGGGCTTTATTGTACAAGCAGCCACCCTACCATGAAGCCAAATCCTCAACCCTGGCAAGATATTCCTATGTTTTTGTAATTATTATTTGTCATTGATGTATATTCATTGTACATGATGGTGAATTCAATAAGGATATTTTATACAAGTCCATTAATGTATTTTGAACATATTGTCCCTCATTTTGCCTCCTGATAGTCTCCTTCACTCCCTTGGATAATTGGTACTTTTACTTTCATGTCATATATACAACCATGATTTTATATTCCTATATAAATTCTAGGATATATAGTGAGACAAAACATGATATTTGTCTTTCTAAAACTAGCATAATTACTAAATATGATCATTTCTAGTTATATCTATTTTCCTGCAAATGTCATCATTTTTTTCTTTGAGCCTGAATAAATTCCATTGTGGGTATAGACAACATTTTCTTTGTCTATTACTCTGTTGGCAGACAACAAGAATGGCTCCCTACTTTGGATGTTGTGAATATTGCTTCAAGAAACACTCATGCATAAGTCTTTCTGTGATATATAATAATCCTTCAGTTATACAAAAATGGAATAGTTAGGTCATATGGTAGTTTCTCACCACCCTTGGCAACTTTTTCTTTGCATAATATCTGCTAGTCTGATGGAATGAGATGAAATTTCAGTGTGCTTCATTTTCATTTCTTAGAGGGCCCTTGCTGTGTGTTTTTCAAAGGTTTACTAATCATTGCTACTTCATCTTTTGAGAACTGTCTGTTCATTTCTTTAACCCATTAATTGATGGAGTTGTTTGATTTCTTTTTTTGTTGTTTTTCTTATATAATTTTTTAATTTAAATTAGAAACAAGCTTGCTTCACACATCAATCCCAGGTCTTTCTCCTTCCCCTCCTCCATTGCCCCTCCACCAGCTCCCCAGCCCCACACCCAGTTCCCACACTTTTCCCCAGGAGGGTGAGGCCCTCAATGAGGGATCTCCAGAGTCTCTCATTTCATCCAGAGCAGGGCCTACACCCTCCCCCATGTATCCAGACTGAAAGAGCATCTCTCCATGTGGAATGGGCTCCCAAAGTTCATTCATACGCCATGGGAATATTGATCTACTACCCAAGGCTCCAGAGATTACCCAGGCCTTCTCACTGATACCACATTCAGGGGGTCTGGATCAGTCCCATGCTGGCCTCTCAGCCATCAGTCTGGGGTCCAAGAGCTCCCCCTTGTCAAGTCAACTGTCTCTGTGGGTTTCACCAGCACAGTCTTGACGTCTTTGCTCATCACTCCTCCCTCTCTGTTACTGGGTTCCAGAAGTTCAGTATTTAGCTGTGGGTATCTGCCTCTGCTTCCATCAGTCACTAGATTAAGGTTTGGCAGTGGGATTATAGGCTGGCTTTCCCCTGATTCATGTCTAAAATCCATATATGAGTGAGTACATACCATGTTTGTCTTTTTGTGACTGGGTTACCTCACTCAGGATGGTTTCTTCTAGTGCCATCCATTTGCCTGCAAATTTCAAGATTCCATGGTTTTTTTTCCACTGAGTAGTACTCCATTATGATAATGTACTACATTTTCTCTATACACTCTTCAGTTGAGGAGCATCTAGGCGCTTCCAGGTTCTGGCTATTACAAATAATGCTGCTATGAACTTAGTGGAACAGATGTCCTTTTTGTATGAATGTACATCTTTTGGGTATATGCCATTGCTGGGTCTTGTGGTAGACTGAGTCCCATTTTCCTGAGGAATCTCCATACTGATTTCTAAAGTGGCTGTACAAGTTGGCACTCCCACCAGCAGTGGAGGAGTGTTCCCCTTTCTCCACATCCTCACTAGCATAAACTGTCACTGTTTTTTATTTTAGCCATTCTGACAGGAGTAAGATTATATCTCAGAGTTGTTTTGATTTGCATTTCCTTGATGGCTAAGGATGTTGAGCACTTTCTTAAGTGTCTCTTGGCCATTTTAGCCTCCTCTGTTGAGAATTCTCTATTTAGTTATGTACCCCCACATTTTAATTGGATCTTACGGTGTTTTGGAGACTTGATTCTTGAGTTCTTTGTAAATTTTGGAGATTAGCCCTCTGTCAGATGTGGGGTGGTGAAGATCCTTTTCCATTTTGTGAGCTGCCTTTTTGTATTGTTGTCAGTGTCCTTTGTCTTACAGAAGCTTCTCAGTTTCAGGAGGTCCCATTTATTAACTGTCAATCTCAGTGTCTATGCTACTGGTGTTATGTTCAGGAAGCAGTCTCCTGTACCAGTTTGTTCAAGAGTACCATCCACTTTCTCTTCTAAAAGGCTTAGTGTGGTTGGAATTATGTTGAGGTCTGATCCATTTGTACTTAAGTTTTGTGCATGGCAATAGACTTGGATCTATCTGCAGTCTTCGACATGCCAGTATCCATTTGTTGAAAATGCTTTCTATTTTCCATTGTATAATTTTAGCTTCTTTGTCAAAAATAAGGTGTCCGTAGGTGTGTGGATTAATATCAGAGTGTTCAATTGGATTTCATTGGTCTACCTTCAGCATACCCAGTTTTAATGTGGATGCTGAACTCAGATCCTCATGCTTTCACTTTCATGTTTAGATTCATTTAGTTTTTATTTCCTTGCATTTATATTTTTTAAAAAATATTTGAAAGTTTTAAATCTTATTGAAAGAGAACAAGGAAAGGTATATAGGGGAGAAGTGACATAATTCTAATCTAAAACAATTTTGAGTAATTTAAACCTGAACTCTTATAAAACTACATAAACCTAAACTTTTTGGTTTTTAGAGTAGTGCAGTTGTTGGAGAGTGATCTTTGGAATAAGTAAACCTATATTATGAAATTCATGTTTGGTTGTTGTAGTCTCTCTGTGCATTAAGAAAACATAATCTATTTCCTCGCATCACATACTTGTTTTAAAGAGGAAAAAATGTAAAAAATATATGTAATTGTATTGGGACTCTAATATATTTTTTTAACTTTTTACAGAAGAAGATAAATATAATATTTATTCACCTTTGCTCTTCAAGTATTTCCTGGCAGAAGGAATTGTCAATGGGCATACTCTGTTGGTTGCATCTGCCAAAGAAAAGCCTGCTGACATTTTACAGGTATGGAATATAGTAATTCAATATACATTTTGATTGTTTCATGAAAATAAATTATATACAACCAAGACATTTACTTACAAATTATATTTAAATACATTAATGGGAGCTTTTGTTTTTCTGAATTAGTGTCTCATTCTAGACCCTGGCTGGCTTCAAACTAACAGCAGCCCTTCCTCAGCCTCTGGAATGCTGGGATCATAGGCCTGATTCACTATTCCTGACTTTTTTTCTGATGGTTTGGTTTGGCTTGGTTTTGGTCTTACTATGTAGCCCAAGTTAACTTTGAACTTGAATTTGCTCTCTCATCCTCTTGAATGCTGGGATTACAGGCACTCATTACCAAATAAGGCTATGTGTGTGTTTTGGGGGAGGGTTGTTATTGTTTTATCTTAATGGAAAACATGATTTTTAGCAGAGTTTTGTTTTAAATTAATGTTGCTAGAGAGTTTTCTTTTTAATCAGAAGTAAAAAATATTAGTAAACTATTTAAAACTAAATGTAAATTATCTAACCTTACATCATTCATATTTAGCAGCAAAAATACAACAATTAAAACTCAGTTTATATTGCTCACGGAAAACAGAGGGAAGCATTCTTTTACTTATTGATTTTCTCAGTTGGACACAAATCATCTTTTTCATCCTAACTGCTACTACGTTCAGGCAGATTTTCCATAACCAAGCATTGCTTTCCCACTCTTACAATATCTCCGTAACTTATAAGAATGCTGCAAAAATATGTTACCATACTGATTTTCACTTCTTAAATAAAAGTGTATGAAGTAGGTACAGTGTGATAAAGAAAATAAATAAAAATGATACTTTTGTATTCTCGTGTTTTACTACTTTGTGTTGTTCATTTGTTTAGTTTTTACTGTTTTTGAGGTAGGGTCTTTCTGGTATGTAGTTCTGGCTGTCCTGGAACTGGATATGTAGACCAGGCTGGCTTCAAACCTGAGATTGAACTCATGGAGATTCTCCTGCCTCTGTTTTCTGAGTGTTGGGATTAAATATGTGTACCACCATGCCTGACCCTGATGTATGATTTTATTTAACATATGCAGAAGTAAACTTGTTTCAAGTCATTAAAATATTTGGCGTTTTTACTGCAAACATTAAGTCAAAGTTTTATTCTAAATCTACATAAATAAGTGTAAATGTTCATAGAAGCATTGTTATATGTAGTTGGTATATTCATTGTATTCACTATAAGAGAATTCTGAAAAAGTTAGCTAGAGAAAGATATCTTCAGAGTGCCTGGACAAAGATAAAAATCAGAAGGTATAGAAATTACAAATACTTGTCATTTGATAGCCTTTTTCTTTGAGAATACCAGAAGTAACTATTTTCCAGTAGTAAGCAACAATGATAAAGTATATGATCTATGTGCTGCATCTTTTCTTAAGGCACAAGGGTTTTTGACCTTTTAGAGAATAATTCTGACTTGTGGAATATTTAATTCATTTTTCTGGAACAGGACCCCAATTTAAGCCATTAATTGAATTGTGTTAATGATCTGGATAAATTTTCCTTTTAGCACATAGTCAGGGAAATCTCAGGTGAATGTCATTTATATTAATCAGGTTTACATTCCTATGACACATTACTTGAGATAATCTTTAAAAACATAGAAGTTGCTGGAGAGATAGCTCAGTGGTTATGAGCACTTACTACTCTTGTAGAAGACACAGGTTTAGTTATCAGCCCCCACATCAGAAGGCCTGTGAACTCCAATTCCAGGATTTCTGATACCCTCTTCTAGCCTCCTTGGGCACCTGCATATACATGGTATATATAAATTCATGAACACAGGTGCACACACATGCACATAATTAAAATACACTTTTTCAAGTGGAAGGACTAATTTTGTCTCATGGTTTCAGAGTTTTCAATCTATGATCCCTTGGCCTCATTGCTTTGGGCTTGTGACAGAACATCATGGGTAGATATGTGGTATCTGCTCACTTAATGGTCCCTGGGGAGCAAAGAGTGAAAGGGAATAGAGGCCAGACTCCCAGTTTCTCTTTTAAGGTCATCCACGGCTCATCTGAGCAGCTAACTTCCTCCCAAGAGGTTCCCTTCTCCTAAAGGTTTCATAACTCCTGATAGTACAATAATCCAATGGTAACCAAGCCCTTAAAACATAGGTCTTTTAGGGCATCTCATTATTTATAAGGAATTGATAGCATAAAATATTAATTTTCAACATGAGTCAGTGACAGCAACAAACTTCTACACTAAAGCTTAAAAGGTACTATAACACTGAACTTAAAACTAACTTGATTCTTTCATAGAGGTCAGGCTTTTTAATTTCCCTGTGTATTTGTCTATTCAATACATTCCATATGAAGGCAGAACTTTTCTCTGTTTTATTTACAGCTTTAATTTTGCTGCATATTGTAGTGTGATAAATTATTTTAATATATTTGAATACTGTAAGGAAATAAAATTATTTCTTTGTGATGTTTAGTTTTAGACCTGACTGGGCCACACAGTATCCAGATACTTGGTCAGAGATTATTCTGAGGATACTGGATGAAATCAACATTGAAAAAAATTTTTTTGGTTTGATTTGGGTTTTTGTTTGTTTTGTTTTGAGACAGGGTTTCTCTGTATATTCCTGGCTGTCCTGGAACCTCACTCTGTAGAACAGGCTGGCTATGAACTCACAGAGATCCACCTGCCCTGCCTCCTAAATTCTCTTACTCATTTATTATTAAATTATTCCACATTTTCTCCTGTTTATCTAAATAAAAAGGAAAGGTGTTAACTGTAACATAATAAAACTATAAATAATAAGAACAATTATTAGGTAAGAATTTATTTACAATATTCAGTTCATTTATATTGGCATATTTGGAGAAAATACTCCATTATTTATTTTATTTTGATGAGTCCAAAGCTCTGTACCTAATTTACTTTCTATTATACTGATGGAAATCTATGACTATAGTGTTCACTCCATATATTACATTAGTAAACAAAAAGTGCAGAACAAGCAACTTCCAAAACTAAAAGAAATGAAAGAAACACCTGGCTGACTGGACAGTCACCCAACGTTCTCTGTAACTTTGGGGCATCCATCTTGGGCCTACAGGCCTAGAATATCTGATAGACTTGTCTATGTAGCAAGAAATCTGAAGGACTGTCTTACCCTGTCTTGGTAAAGTTCAGCAATCATTTTTCTTCATGTCCTGCTGGTCTAGTTTGTATAGCTTACTGTCAGTAATTGGGACAATGGCAGTTACTTGCCCAAATGGCTAGCTTTTCCATATAGAAAGGAAATTCCATATGGAGATTCTTGAATGCCCATTATCTTCTCTAAATTGGTGCTGACAAGAGCAGATGTATCAAGAAAAGCCTTAAGTTATTAAAATATTTTAAATGCCAAATTCCGTAGATCTGTATCTCTGTATGACCTTGATAACATACCTAACATGACTATAGATGACTATGAGACTGTATTTATCCTAGATAGGCTTTTAAAACTAAAACTTTACATAGCCTTTTTAAATGAGCTGCATGGTTATATTGCCTTAAACAACATATATACAATTTAGCAAAAATAACATAAAAGTTGTATCAATATACAAAAATCCATGCCTGTGTAAAATATTTGTGACTAATGGTTGTTTATAAATAGACTCAACAATCTACCCGTTTATCTTATTATTTTTATGCTATATCCCATTTTTTTCCTTTAGAAAGAGATCCTTGAATCTAACTCCTTTGTTTAGCTTTTTTCCTGACCATGATGAATTGGGTGTTTTTTGAATAATAGTTAATTGAAAAACATTAAACTTGGTATCTGACATTATACTCCTTTTCTGTTTTAGAATTGTCTATATTAAGGCCCAGAAATGTAGCTCAATAGGTAGAATGGTTTCCAGCATGCACAAAGCCCTGAGTTCAATCCTCAGCTCCACGTAAACTGAACATAATGGTCACATTAGTCATCTTAGCACTTGGGAGACTAAAGCAGGAGGAGGAGTGGTTCATAGTCATTCTTGGCTACATAGCAAGTTCAAGTAAGCCCTGAACTATATAGGACACTTGTCAGAAAGGAAGAAACAAAGAGAGACAGGGGAAAGAGGGAGGGAAGGAGGCAAGAAGAAAGAGGGGGATCTCTAAATCATTCTGTTTGTGCTTAAATCAATTACAAGGCACCCATGTTTGTTTAATGCATTGGAAAATTCTAACATTGCTGTCATTATGATTCAAGAAATTACCATATTTAACAATGATGCCATGTAATGTGTTATTCTGTTTTCTTAGGAACTCCCTGCACCACTACTTGATGATAATGGTAAAAAAGAGCTTGAAGATATACATAATTCTAAAACACCAGAACCAGATGTTAGCATGAAAATAGCCTGGCGATACCAGTTGCTACCCAAGATGCAGGCAAGTCAACATACAAACTACCTCTAAAATTTGCAAAGCATTTCTTGTCACTTTGTAGAGTCTCTGGATCTGGTTTACCCTGCTAGCTTTTAGGTCTTGTGGCTTTGGGCCCATTTTTCTTTTTGAAATGGGATTATTATTCTATGTCATTGTGTATTAAAAGTGTTCAAGATATAACTTGTCTTCTTTCGTGCCTGTCTGTTCATAGAGGCCAGTTTTACGTGTCTTCCATGTCTCTCCTCCTTAATTCTTGAGACAGTATCTTTCACAAAACCTGAAGCTTACTGATTCAACAAGCACAAACAAAATAATTTAGACAGTCTCTCACTTCTTCCTCTCCTTTTGCGGGATTCCTGCCCGGGTTCCATTGCCGGTTTAGCCCCCAAATAACACACAAGACACTATATTAATTATGAAGTTGTTGGCCATTTGCTTGTTTCTTACTGGCTAGCTCTGACCTAAGTATTAAACCCATAATTGTTAATCTAAGTATTTCTCTTACTGGAGAAAGGGGTCCGGACCTCTTACACTCTGGCAACCTACATGCTGTCTCTCTGTGTCTCTATTTCCTAGAATCCTACTGGACTCCTAGTCCCATCTATCTTGCTTCCCTATTGGCCAACAGTGCTTTATTCAAACCAATCAGACACATATTTACAGAATGACATCTTCTAACACTCTCCTTCCTTCCTTCCTTCCTTCCTTCTTTCCTTTTCTTTGTTTCTTACAAGTATCTTGTGTAGTCCAGGGCATACTTGGACTTGCTTTGTAGCCAAGAATGACTGTGTAGCAAACCCTTGGGATATTTCTGATGAGATTACCTAGAATTTTAGAAGAAACTTTTGGACATTGGGCTTCTGAGTATTAGAACCTTGATATTTTGAGACTCTTGCAGATGGACTAAATGCATTTTGTATTAAATATGAGACTTCAGAGCCAGTAGTGGAATATTTAAAATTATGTGTTTGGCTATTAAGTTGGCAAGAGATCTTGTCTTAGTCTAGTTGCTTTTGTTGTGATGAAACACCATGACCAAAGCAACTTGAGGAGGAAAGGGTTTATTTCATTCACAGTTCTATATAACAGTTCATTATCAAAAACAGTGAGGGCAAGAACCTAGAGGTAGGAACTGATTTAGAGGCCATGGAGAAGTGCTGCTTAATGGCTTGCTGCCCTTCCTTGGCTTGCTTTCCATGGCTTGCTCAGCCTGCCTTCTTATAGAACCCAGGACAACCAGCCCAAGGATGGCATCACCCACAATGAGTTGGGCTCCTCCCTCATTGATCATGAATTTAAAAAAAGTCTTACAGCTGAATCTTATGGAAGCGTTTTCTCAGTTGAGGCTCGCTCCTTGCTAATGATGCTAGTTTGTATCAAGCTTGCATAAAATATCCAGCACAGATGGATTTATAGTGATTAACATTCAATGTTAACTTGAACTAGATTTAAAATTGCCTAGGAGACACACTTATGCTTCCAAAAAAAATTTAGCTGAGGATAGAAGACTCATCTGAATGTGACTGTACCATTCCATAGGCCGATGTCCTGGACCTATGAAAAAGAGAATTCTTGAATTCTTCGTAAATTTTGGAGATCAGCCCTCTGTCCGATGTGGGGTTGGTGAATATCTTTTCCCATTCTGTGGGATATCATTTTGTCTTGTTGACTGTGTCCTTTGCCTTATAGAAGCTTCTCAGTTTCAGAAGGTTCCATTTGTTAATTGTCGATCTTAGTGTCTGTGCTTACTGGTATTATGTTCAGGAAGTGGTCTCCTGTACCAATTCGTTCAAGGGTAGCTCCCACTTTCTCTTCTAAAGTTTCAGTGTGAGTGGATTTATGTTGCTGTATTTGATCCATTTGGACTTGAGTTTTATGCATGGTGATAGATATGGATCTATCTGCAGTCTTCTACATGCCAACATCCAGTTAGGCCAGCATGATTTGTTGAAGATGCTTTCTTTTTTCCATTGTATAATTTTAGCTTCTTTGTCAAAAATCAGGTGTTTGTAGGTGTGTGGGTTAATATCAGGGTGTTCAATTCGATTTCATTGGTCTACATGTCTATTTTTGTGCCAAAACCAAGCTGTTTTCAGGACCATAGCTCTGTAATAGAGCTTGAAGTCAGGGATGGTGATGCCTCCTGAAGCTCCTTTATTGTACAGTGTTGTTTTGGCTATCCTTGGCTTTTAGTTTTTCCATACAAAGTTGAGTATTGTTCTTTCAAGGTCTGAAGAATTGTGCTGGTATTTTGATTGTGACTGCATTGAATCTGTAGATTGCTTTTGGCAAGATTGCATTTTTATTATGTTGATATTACCAATCCCAGAGCATGGGAGAGCTTTCCATTTTCTGGTATGTTCTTTAATTTCTTTCTTTAAATACTCAAAGTTCTTGTTATACAGGTTGTTCACTTGTTTTGTTAGCATTACCCCAAGGTATTTTATGTTGTTTGTTGCAATTGTAAAGGGTGATGTTTCTTAGATTTCTGTCTCAGCCTATTTATTGTCTGTATATAGTAGGGCTACTGATTTTCTTGAATTAATATTTTATCCTACCACTTTGCTGAATGTGTTTATCAGCTGTAGGAGTTCCGTGGTAGAGTTTGTTGGTCACTTATGTAAACTTGCATATCATTTGCAAGTAGTGAAAGTATTACTTCTTTCTTTCCAATCTGTATCCCCTTAAACTCCTTTTGTTTTCTTATTGCTCTAGCTAGTACCTCAAGTACAATATTGAAGTGATATGAAGAGAGTGGACATCCTTGTCTTTTTCCTGATTTTAGAGCAATCGCTCTGAGTTTCTCTCCATTTAGTTTGATGTTGGCTGTCAGTTTGCTTTATATTGCTTCTGTTATGTTTAGATATGTTCCTGTTATCCCTGGTCTCTCCAAGACCTTTATCATGAAGGGGTGTTGGATTTTGTCAAAGGCTTTTTCAGCATCTAGTGAGATAATCATGTGATTTTTCTTTTTCAGTTTGTTTATATGGTGGATTACATTGATGGTTTTTCGTATGTTGAACCATCCCTGATTCCGTAGGATGAATCCTACTTAATAATGATAGATAATTTTTCTGATGTGTTCTTGGATTTGATTTTCCAGTATTTTATTGAATATTTTTGTATCAGTGTTCATGAGGGAGATTGATCTGTAATCCTCTTTCTTAGTTGTGTCTTTGTGTGGCTTGGGTACCAAGATAATTGTAGCCTTATAAAAAGAGTTTGGCAATGACCCTCCTGCTTCTATTGTGTGGAACAGTTTGAGGAGTATTGGTATTAGCTCTTCTTTGAATTTCTGGTAAAATTCTGCGCTAAAACCATCTGACCCTGGGCTTTGTTTGTTTGTGAGACTTGATGGCTGCTTCTATTTTTTTTAGGAACTATAGGTCTATTTTAGTTGTTTATCTGTCCATGTTTTAATTTTGGTAAGTGATATCTATCCAGAAAATCTTCCATTTCCTTTAAAATTTTCAATTTTGTGGAGTACAGGTTTTCAAAGTATGACCTGATGATTTCCCCAGTGTCTGTTGTTATGTCCTCCTTTTAATTTTTAATTTTGTTAATTTGCATGTTTTCTCTCTGACTTTTGATCAGTTTGTCTTTCTTATTGATTTTCTTGAAGAACCAACTCTGTGTTCCATTGATTCTTTCTTTTTTTTTATCATTTTTTATTTTAATTTTAAATAGCTTGTTTTACATGTCAATCCCAGTTCCCTCTCCCTCCCCTCCTCCCGCACTCCCCTTCCCCCCCCCCTCCCACCCTATTGCCAAATCCTTCCACATAGGGGATATCTAGAGTCTGTCATTTTACTCTTGGTAGGGTCAAGGCACTCCCCTAAGAGTCCAGGCTGAGAGAGCATCTCTCTTTGTGCTATAGGCACATGAAGACAGTTTGTATACCAGGGATAGACACTGATTCACAGCTCAGGGCCCCATAGGTTGCCCAGGCCTTCTCACTGACACTCACATTTGGGGGGTCCAGATCAGTCCCATGCTGGCCTCCCCACTGTCGGTCTGGGGTCCAAGAGCACTCCCCTGTTCAGATCAGCTGTCTCTGCTGGTTTTGCCAGCCCATTCTTTGCCAATTTGCTCATCACTCCTCTCTCTCTGTCACTGGGTTCCTTGGGTTCAGTTCAGTGCTTAGTTGTGTGTTTGCCTCTGCTTCCATCAGTCACAGGATGAAGGCTCCCGGATGGTTATAGACATCAAGTTCATTATCAGGAATGGGCATTCGAGGTGGTCCCTCCACTATTGCTTAGCTTGCCAATTGATGTTATACCTTTAGATCACTCGAGGTCACTCTGGTGCCTGATCTGTCTTCGATCCTATGATTCCCTCTTCCCCCTATTCTACCCCCACCCCTCAACTTCCTGTTCCCCCATGACCAACTCCCTTCCTCTTTACCCCCTCTATTCTTCCCAGGTCCCACTCCCCCCCACCCCTCGCCGTGTTCCCCATCAGAGGATCTTGTCTCCATCCTCTTCTCTTGGGTACTATGCATATATGCATATCTTTTAGGTTCTTTCCTGTTTCCCAGACTCTCTATCTGTGGAAGTGCAGACTGGCACTATCCTGGTCCATATCTAGAATCCATATATGAGTGAGTACATACCATGTTTGTCTTTTTGCGACTGGGTTACCTCACTATTTTTTCTTTGTTTCTACTTTATTGATTTCAGCCCTCAATTTGATTATTTCTTGGCATCTACTCCTTGGTGAGTTTGCTTCTTTTTGCTCTAGAGCTTTCAGTTGTGTTATTAATTCTCTTATGTGACTATTCTCCAGTTTCTTCCTGTGGGCACTTAGTGCTATGGTCTTTCCTCCTCACACTGCTTTCAAATTGTCCCACAATTTTGGGTGTGTTGTATCTTCATTCTCATTGAATTCTAGTAAGTCTTTAATTTCTTTTTTCATTTCTTCTTTGACCCAGAAGTGGCACAGTTGTGCATTGTTCAATTTCCATGTGTTTGTAGGTTTTCTGCAATTTGTGTTGTTGTTGAATTCTAACTTTAAACTATAGTGATTCAATAAGATACAGGGGGTTATTCCAATTTTTTGTATCTTTTGAGGTTTGCTATGTTGCCAAATAATTTGCCGATTTTCAATGAAGTTTCCATGTGGTGCTGAGAAGAAGGTATATTCATTAATGTTTGGATGGAATGTTGTATAGACTATGATAAACCCTATTGGGTCATAACTTCTGTTAGTTCCTTCTGTCTGGTGATCCTGTCTAGTGGTGAGAGTGGGGTGAGACTTTATGTGTGATTTTAGTTTTAGTAATAGTTAAACATATATCATTGTTGTATAAATATGCATCATATGGATATATGCCTAAGAGTGGAATTGCTGGATCTTGTGGTAAACTGATTCCCATTTTTCTTCGAAATCTCCATACTGATTTCCAATGTGGCTGTACAAGTTTGCACTTCCACCAGCAGTGGAAGAGTGTTCCCCTTTCTCCACATCCTCTCCAGCATAAACTGTCATTGGTGTTTTCGATTTTAGTAATTCTGACAGGAGTAACATGGTATCTCCGAGTGTTTTTATTTACATATCACTGATATTCTCCTACTTATTCAGTGTTCTATTTTTTTCCTGGGGCTTTGCTGAGACACTGTATTATCTGCATGAAATATTACTCTCTCTTTTCACTGCTTTATTTTCTTCAAGATGTTATTTAAAGTTGGAAATCATATATTCATTTCAGAAATTGAGTCTGTTTTAAGATGTGAGCTCAGGCTGGAGCGTGGTGGCTCACACCTTTAATCCCAGCACTCCGGAGGCAGAGGCAGATGGGTCCCTGTGAGTTCAAGACCAGCCTGTTCTACAGAATTCCAGGACAGCATCCAAAGCTACAGAGAGACCCTGTCCACCCACCCTCCAAAAAATATGTGAACTCAGGAAGGGAAAGCAAATGCTTTGCTTTACTGATATATAGTATATGTGCCATAAAATGAATTAGTGGGTAAAGTAAGTGATAATAAATTGTAGTCATTAATACTACAATAAGTAGTCACTTTTTTATTTTATAGTCAGCTCTCAAATTTAAGTTTGCTTCTGTTTATAAATGTGTGCTTTCAGTCTTAAAATAGGAATCATGTCTGGCTTTTTTTTTTTTTGTCTCATCACAATAATTTTATTGTGACTAACCTATACCACTGATATTTGGCCAGTGCTTATCTTCATCTTTTTTTTAGATATAACTTTGCAATTCCCCAGTGTGAAAATAAACAAAAACTTTTAGCTTTCTGTATTTTCTTGAACATAATGAAATTTCATTATTTTGGTTTAAGACTAAAAGAGTAGAAATAGTCCAAAATGAGATATATTAATTATCAGTGATGCTCTTTAATGCAAATTGTTACCAAATATATCAATTGTAGTCCTAGTCTACTTGGGGAATATGAAAAATGACAAGGATGTGAAACAGAAGTTAGGCACTTAGTAATGCATAAATGTTTCACTTAAGCCAAAGAATATTTAGAATCCTTCCTTTCTCGCCAATGATTTAGATTCTTTATCATAGATGGACTTGCCCTCTCCTCACTCTGCAGATTGCTAGCCTGCAGTGAAATCTGGCTTTCACCCCAGAAATTGTAGGTCTCTAGTAACAACTTAGTAATACTGATATTTATATTATGTTCAAATTTATAAAAGGTTAATTGACAATATTGAATAGATTATTTTGAGAGCATAATAAAATCATGATTAGCCCAGGTCTAGTGATGAAACGGAGTCTTTGTTTGAGTGGTTTAGTGAGTGGTTAGACTCTTGCTGTCTGTTTTGCCAGACTCTCAGAAACAAGGCTTGCTAACAGTGGTGAGTCATAGCTGCTGTTGACTGCCTGTCTCCTCTGCGGCTCACTGGGGATGGAGTGGTGCTGGGGAATGTGCTGCTGTTTTGTTGCTGCTCAGCTTTCCTCCGCAACTCCCATCACATTTCATTTTTTAGCACAGTAAAACCTCCAATTTTTTTCTATTCCACAGATGGTGAAATTAAATGTAGCTTATGGATGTGCAATAAAACTTGTCATATGTAAAATTAGAGCAACATGTAAAATAAATGAACTGCTTTTTCATGATAGGTTGATGTAAAAATGCAATTTGATTTTTATGACAATGACATATATATAGATAAACACTGTTAGAGTAACAACAGTAACCTTTCATTTTCAAAGGAAATTTCTAGGTCTCAAAAGAATTCAGTATTTCAGAAATCTGAATGTATGCTAATATAATGTGTCTTGGATAGAAAAAATACAAAAGTTTTTATGCTATGAAAATATATTTTTTGTTTTCCTTTTATTGACAGATTGAAATCTTTCATCAGTAATGAAAACTGTGTCTACCTTATCAATATTTTTGCTGTCCTATTTGATCTTAGCATCTAAATAAGTTAATAATTATAATAAGAAAACTTTCCAGTTTCACTTTTACATTTTAATGAATTGTGTTTTGTATGTAAACTGTCACAGCATGAAATCAGTATTCTGCCTTGATTCATCCAAAATCTGTCACACTAATATTATAATTAAAAACATTAATAGTGACGGCAACTTAAAAAGCATACCTTGCTTTTTGGTAATTTGGTGTTTCTGTGAGTGCATGGGACTTCAAGAACCTTCAATCCACTAATAAATTTTTTAACTCAAACTTAAAAGAAGTGAAAAGTCTCTCTTTCTTTCTCTCTCCCCATGGTCAGTCTGCTAAAATAGATTATTCATGCTTATTTGATTCAGGTAGGCTTTTGCAAGCTTCCCTACCAGGCCTGGGAATGTGGTACATTGAGGCCTTTTCAGAGGCTTCTGACATAGACCAAGCTTTTATTGCATGGTGTTTTATTATAGCCAAATCCTAGTCTCCACCCAGTTTGTAGGCACTCAGCTTATTCTTTTGAATCAGGAAAGGTTATCACCTACCTTAATCCTTGCAGTAGCATGGATTAGGGACACCAGTGTGCCCCAGGATTCCCAAAGAGGATCCTGGAAACTTCTGGTTTCTTCTTTTTTGCTGTCTTTACTAAATTCTATTGGGCCTTAGGGGGATTTGCATCTGAAATGGGCAACCTGGTGTTTTTCTCAATGAAGACATCAGATCAAAGTTCAGTTAGTCAAGGCCTTTCTGAAACATTAAGAGGGCTTGGACTTACACAATAAAAAGATGAGCTCTCGCAGAGATTGCAGTAAAAACATTCTGAACTATAATCCGGATAAAGAATCAATTATAGGCCAAAGAACAGACCTTGTTTAAATTGCTTTAGACTAATAACTTTACATTTAAAAACCTTTACACCATGTTTTTAAGAAATTTATTTTAATGTCATATAATTTATTTGTCAATACTTTTCATGATAAATGGAGAATTTATGTCTTAGGAACCACAATCTTGCACATATTATTATTGCATTGAAAAGATTATATTGAAGCCAACTAATAGATGTCTTTCATTAATGAAAATAAATTGTACCTTATGGAAAGATGCACATTCATTTTATTTAGATAATAAATATCACACCCACAGACTCAATCTAGTAAAAATGCTTCTTATTAGACTTCAGGATGTTTTATTTCATGTGACTGTATAATTTGGTGTTTATAGACATTTAATTTAGGAATATGAATCATTGAAATCTTAAATGCAAATAGCTTGTGTCAAGCAACCATATGTTTAACTAAATTAAAAAATTGTCATTCTGTAAGATAAGAACTTAAGAGTTCTCATGTTTCTGCAAAGACTCTATGTGTTTTGAGCATCCCCAAGTTTGCCAGTTTCTTAGCTCAGGAATGGTTACAGTAAAAATCAGACCAGAACTTTTATGGGAAGCTGTTGCCAGATGAAATTTGCTAATAGTTCAACTTTGTATAGAAGAGTATGGGAGCAAGGAATGTATTCGTTAAAATCAGCCTAGATTCTATTCAAAACAATAGTTAATAGATTTTTACTCACATATGTAAGTGAAAGATGGTATCTTGGAGAAACTTAATAAAGAATGTAAAACCATGAACTAATGATCATGTCAAGTTTCTGATAGTCTCACAAAGTTCCCATGCATTTCTTACTCTCACACATGCTTTGATACTGTCTGGACTCTGGTACATATTACACCATCAGCTTTGTTAAAGTTTATAAGAAATATTGTACATGTGTACACATTATCCTATAAGCATTTAGTTTCACTATGATGTTCAGTTAAACACATCTAAATATTTGATTTCTACTGGGACTTCCAATCAGTGAATTAATTTGACTTAACTTCATTTAGTTCTTGCATCTCTTTATTCGCTTTGTCATTAAAATGTGAGCTATTGTATATGAATTAAGAATTATGTATATTAAATTTTGACTTAGAAAAAGAGATGTATGAAATAGTTTCAAATGAGAGAGGTATATGAATTTCTATAAACTTGGGAATCATTAACACTGAAAAAACTTGAGAGCAGAAAGTTTAATTCCTCACTGTATATAGTTTGACTAATAAAGGATATTGTATGGGTCTTTAAATTCACTAAGTATATGTATATCAGCTTTTTCCTCATTAACTTGATTGAAGACAAAAAAATTATAGTGTAAAATAATGCTGCTTTAATAACCAGCACGATTTTCCAGCAGGTTGGGCCAGTGTCATCTTCACGATTTGGTCACTATTATGATGTGTCAAAAAGGATTCCTCAGGAGCTACTAGGAAGTTCAAAATGGCATGGATTCTTCCTCCCAGAACATATAACTTCAGATCTTAAAGGAGAATCCTGGTAAGTCAACAACTGCTGTTACCACAAATTCGGTTCAATTATCAGTACATTGCAATTTTTACCTCATTTTTGAGGATTTCATATGCAAATGTATATGATAGTTTTCTACAAATACATAAGAAATTATATATGTATTTTATAATACTCCATTATATGTTGATTTTCTTTTTTTCTGGTTCTGTACACTACCTATTGGTTTATAATGTTATAGATCTGATACCTAGATAGTTACAATTCCATTTGATTTTACTTTCCAGGAAATGTGAAACAGTTGTAAATCAGGACTTCAACCCATAATTCATAAATTCTTGGTGTGATTAATCCAAGAAAATGTCTAAAGCACTGCTGCTTGTTAATACTTTTTAGTAAGTGATCTTTTAAGGATTAAGCAAGTGTATGCTACTTTTTTTCTTTTTAATATTGAGTCCTGTCTGAATTCAAACTATTTGTCCAATTATGACCTTGAGATTTCTGATTTTCCTAGCCTTACCCCTAGAATGCTGGGGTTAATGGTATATGCCACTATACCTGATTTTATGCAATACTGGGACTTTAACCTAGGGCTTTGTGCATGCAAGGCAAACTACATTTCTTGACAACCAAACTATATTTCTTACTTTATTTTTTTAACATTCCATTTATATTAAGACATTATGCTTTTAGTGATGCTGCAAAAAAAACACTCTGTAATTCTAGGTGGCAAGATAGTTGAGAGTTAGAACTTTTTAAAGCAACCTTACCTATTGATAGTGACAAAAATTTATTAAAGCAGAATTCTGAAAGTTACAGACTTGATATTAAAAAACGTGTACGATATTAAGAAAATTTACTTTCAGTTCTTACCACAGTAAGCTACTGAACAGATTGTAACTTGTATTTTCTTTGGCACAGCAAATCATTTTAAAGTAAAATGTTAGAGAGTTTATCGACAGAGAGTTGTGAAATTAAATTATTTAAATATCTTGTTCTGTTCTAAAATTAATGCCTGCAAACTTAGTCAACTGAATCTTTTTTCAGTTTTTTCATTGGTTAACAGGTTCTCTAATCTACAGTCAGAGACATAAAATGCCATGTGGGTACTCTTAATTTTAAGGCTATGTTAAAGAATGACTGCTATGTGTCGGGCAGACTACTATACACTTTGCATTTATTACCTCCTGTCATCCTTATATAAGCAAATATTTCTGTCTTCCAGAAATTGACATACACAGATCTAACAGGGTCTCAGTTGAATGATGGAGCCAGGAATAACATGTTGTATCTCTTTCTTTGTGCTTCATTTCTTTTGAAGGCTTTGGTGTCTGTCATTTTCATTGTTTTGTTGCCAACAAAAGAGTACTAATGAAGGAATGAAAACATGGTTCTAGTACTGGCTTCATCCTGCTGTGCTCTTGGGATCCTCCCTTGAGTTCAGTGAAGTCAGTACTTCCAAGTAAAAGTTGGGGGCTAAGAAACAGAAATGCCACATTTACCCATATTACTTTTCTTGTTGTTAAGTTTGAATCATTATGTCAATTAATACTAGTTCTTAACTTTGATTGCCCATTGAACTAAACACACATGCACACACACACACACATGCACGCACGTGAGTAAAACGTGATAATACTGGCATTCAAAGTTATTTCTGACTTAGAAGTCTGTGATGGCAATAATTCTATACTGTTTCACTCATAGAATTCTCAGCCATATAAATTGAAATGTGAGTGAGTTGGGGTCACAGCCCAGTTGTAGAGTGCTTGCCTAGCTTCAATTCAATCCCTAGCACCACAAAAATAAAATAAAGCATATATAAATGATAGTGTAAATAAACAAAAACCATTACATTTATAATTTGAAATATAAATATTTGTTTTAAAGAACAAACATTTTATGCCAGAAATACAAGGATTTTATTCATTCATTCATTTAAAGGGAAGAAGCTAACTTTAGTCAAATGCCTCAGGAGGAGGACTGTTCAGGTATTTAACCATAGCCTATTCATTTAATTCTACCAATAGCCTTTTGAACTTAGTAATACCATCATAGTTTATGGGAACTAGAGGTCAGAGGCACTAGGCAACTTTACTGCTATTTCCAAAGGCAGTGGGTCTCACCTTGAGGTTGCTACCCATTTGGGGTCAAATGACCATTTCAGGGGGTTGCATATCAGATATTTACATTATGATTCATAACACTAGCAAAATTACAGTTATGAAGTAGTAACAAAAACATTTTATGGTTGGGGGTCACCACAACATAAGGATTGTATTAAAGGGTCGCAGTAACCACTGCAGTAAGGTAACAGTCAAAACCATGTTTGCAAAACCTCCAGGTTGCAGGAAATGTGCAGCTCACCAAGCTGAGGGACCAAAAAACTATACTTTGATGAACTGCAAGGATGTAGTCAAATGGTCTTTAGAATGTATAATTGCTGGAATGCTTTTTGAAAGCTAGCAGTTTTATGTAGAATAGCAAAATTTATAGATTTTAATTACCAAGACAGTATTTCATTTCATAGTAGTTAACTGATAACTCATTTATTTCATATTAAACTTAAATGCTTAATTAAATGTAATTAAACTTTAAACATGTAATTAAATTAATTTTGAATACGGGTACTTTACCATGTGAGATTTATTTTAATTTATGAAAAGTGTATGCTCATTTCACTGACATGAACCTTACTGGTTCATTTATAAAACAATAAAGCCAAGCCTTATACTTGTCTATACTTTTCCTATAATTAAAACTAGAGGATATAGTTATGTCTCACTACCATATGTGAGATACAATATATAATTTCATAATCTCAAAAGGCACTATTGATAACATGTGAAGATTTTTTTTATAACAGCTAAAACTGAAGGTCATTTGAAATTTGCAGTAATTAATTTTAAATTACTGGTAAGTTTATCTATAGAAAATGTTCATACATATACTGTAAATTTTCAAATTAGAGGCTAGGCATTAAAAACTTGACATATATCACAATATTGTTGAGATCTCTTTAGAGAGCTGGTGCCTACAGTCCCAGCACTGGACAGGTGAAAGGGGAGGACCAGAATCTCAAGGGTAGCCTAAGACATGTGACACTGCCTTCAGTCTAAAAGGGTAGCTTTGACAAGTCACTGTCCTGAATGTCACAACCTGATAAGGATGACAAAAGCTCATGCTGAACCTGCTGTATGAGCTAGCTTGTTGGAGCCCACTGCCTTTGGTGGGATGCCATGCTCAGCCTGACTCTGCCCCAACCTAGTATGCCAGAGTATGTTGACTCCTCATGGGAGCCCTTACTTGTGAGGAGGAGTAGACAGGGGGACAGAGGTGGGGGTAGGGAGTGGTAGGAGGAGGCAATGGGGGAGGAAGGGTGGGAGAGAGAACTGTAATTGAAACGTAAAATGAAATTAAAAAAAAAGTTCATGCTGAGAGTAAGTCTGTAATTTTGATTTGCTTTATAAATGGACATTGCTTTTAGTTAACGTTTGACAACAGGTATGTCCAAGCACAGCAAGAGTATTTGTTTCCTTACTGAAATATACTGCCATTCAACAGTTAGGACAGCAGACAATTTTCCATTGATCAACAAACCTAACATGCTATCTAACCTGCTATTCCCACTTGTATTCTTTGCTTTTCTGTTCCTGTGGCAAAATATTATGAGCAAGGCAATTTATGGAAGAAGGCATTTACTTTGGCCTATGGTTCCAGAGGGGTAAGAGTCCATTGTGGCAGCAAGTATGGTACAATGGGCAGACCTTATAGCTGGCTCAAGAAGCTAAGATCTCATACTTTCAACTAGAAGCACAAAGCAGAAGGAGTGAACTGAAAGTGACCAGGGCTTTTAATCTGCATGCCCACCCCTAGTGACACAACTCTTCCATCAAGACTGTACCCCTGAACTCTCCAAACAGTCCTACCAACTGGGAACCAAGTGTTCAAATCCTGCAGTATGGGGTCAATTCTGAATCTTAGCATCCTACCTAAACTTGCATGTTTAGGCCCTCACCCCAATATCAAATTACTTAGACATGGGGTCTTTGTTATGGTTTGAATCTGAAATAGCCTTCACTCAATTCATAGCTTATGGAACTATTTTGAAGGCTTTGGAGCTGTTATGAAACAGGGTCTGGCTGGTGGAGGTAAGTTATTAGGAGCAGGCCTCAGAGTTAGAGCCCTGGTTCCAATCCCATGGTCTGCTCTCTGACACAAATACCTGTCACCACAAAATCCACCATAACTTCCTGCCCTGTTAAACTGAAACTAATATATCTGTGCTACTATAACAAAGTATGTGAGGTTGGGTGATGGATAAAAACCAGAAGTTTCTTTTCTCACCAGTGTGTAGGCCACAGACTCCAAAACCAATGAACTAGTGGGTTTTACTGTTTAGTGAGGGCTACCAGGTGCTGAGTCTCTCTTATGTCTGGACTGAGATTCCTGTGTATTTGCAAGCAGAGTTGAAGTTTTTTCAGGTGGAGTCAACAAAACCAAACAGCAAAGAAACTTACAAAACCAAAACTAGTGAACAAAGTGATAGGCTGTGATCTGTGAGCTAAAGAAAAAGGGTTAAAAACAACTGCTATTTATACACGAGAAAGAAAGAGGGAAGATGATAGCACTGGGCAGCAAAGATGACACTATCCACATCTTCAAAATATTGAGGAAACTCTGGTTTCCATATAAGCTGAAATGTATAGATTATAAAAGCAACAATGGACAAATAGAACTAAATTAGAAATACAGTTCTGTTCCCCACAGACGATATAGTCACAGTCAGCAAGTCTCGCTGGTTTGGAAATACACTAGCTTACATCAGAGATTGCACTTTTCAACTGTCGGGTATTTAAAATAACACACTATGGTGGCTATCCTATGGAAGAACAGCCACTCATATTAATTGTGAGAGTTAAAGTTATTGAAACAATCTTAGGAAAAGGAATCAAAAGTTAGACTATTGTCTTTTTACTATTATTCCATTTCTGTGAATTTATCATAAACAATGACATTATCAAAGATAT